AGTTCTCGCGGGTCATGAAGACCTGCAACTGACTCTAAAAAGTGTCTGTGTTCTAGAAAAATCAAAACATTTGGGAGTGAGATAGCTAGACACGACGTGATCAACGAATGTTCAGTGGCGTGGGGCTGTGGGCCACTGTAGTCGGTATCAGTCGCCTCAGAAGGAGACGATGATAAGAGGTGAGGTTCCCCGTGAAATTTGTTTAAACACATGTCTGTTGGGAGACAAGTGAGTGGTCTTGGGTAGGGTTGTGCATGCGCCGTTTGGACAAAATGCAGCGACTTCTACCCGGGATCTGAATAAATTCAGTCCTGAACCTATTGGGATTGTCCAAAGTATTTGAGTGACTGGGAGTAATTTTCTCGATTGATAGCGCAATTGAGGTAGCAGACTTGACAATGATTATTGTTCTCTTGCTCACTTGAGCTTTATGCTTCCTCGCTCTCATTATTTTCACTCAGTTACTCACTCACTCTCGGCTTTGTCCCTTGGGTAGGCTTAGTTGGGTTTACTAAGCCATTGGGACTTATCTCTTATTTCTCTTTGCTCTTTTCTCTGCGTGCTCCCCCTCAACTAGAGCATTCAGTAGGATGCATTCAACAGTGTTTGGCGCTTGGAAGTAGAACTTTGAAAACTCTCCCTCAAAATCTGCATCCTTGAGAGAAACCTTGCATGGTAAATTGTCTGGCACCAGGAGGAGAAAAATGAAACTCCCCCCCAAAAGTTGCAACTCATGTTGTTTGTTACTTGGGGAGTAAGGTAGAGAACTCCCCCTTGTAAAGTAGAGAACTCCTCCTCAGAATAAGCACTTATTGATTGTTCTTGGTGTGTATTGGTTGGTGATGGGGTGTGCATTTGTTGATTTTCTACTCAGTGGGGTAGTATACACGCCAATACTCCCCTTGATAATGTGCATCAGTTGATTGCTCACAGCTCATCTTCATACCCGCCATGTGTGTGGAGCAATCGATTCAGTTACCACACATGACGGACCTTGCGGAACAGATTAAGTATGTTTTGGGACCCATTTCCAGATGGGCCCTTCCTTTGTAGCATTGAAAAACTGTTGCACTTTCTGTTTGATTTGTGATCCTAGGCTAGCTGATTGAGAAAAGTCTGACATTCTTAATTTTTCAGCTCTAGCCTTAGGAATCTATTGTTGTTTGAACTTTAGTGCAGGTGAGGTTTCACTAGCAGTGAGTGAATGTTCAGACATATAGTTTTTTAAAATTGTTTCTTGAGAGAGTCTTCTCAAATGTCTGATTGAGCGAACCTTGAGGGGATACCTTAAACCTGGTAATTTATACTCCCCCTCAACGATCACCTTTGCGGAAGCTGATTTCTTTGGACATCTCTGAACATTCCTCTTCTTATCTTGGTTGGAGGAGATATCAAACTCTGAACAGGAAGTTTTTACTGGCTTAACACAATTCTTAAGAAATCTCTTCTTTTTAGCGTAGAACAGTGCACTCGAACATCGGCTACTATTCCTTAGATGAGATTCTTCCTCATTCTTTCTTCTTCTTAACTTCTCCTCAATCCATTCTCCTCTCTTTTCCACTCTCATCTTCACATGATATCTTGTCGGAGAAGGAGACTCAGAGTTAGAGGTATCAGTTGATTTTTCAAAATATGTCTCAGATGATCGAGGAGAAGGAGATTGAGAACATGTGCTTGATTGAGAGGATGTCGTTAACAAGGATATTTCATTTAAAAGTTGTTCCCTCTCAAGCTCAAACTCCTGTTGTTCCCTTTCAATTCAGCAAACTTTCTCACAAGGGGTGGAATGTATACTGGTTTCGCTACAGGCTCTGAAGTTGAAGGTTCCTCTTTATCTTGCATAGTCTCTTTTGCAGGGTAAAAGGTTGGAATCTCTTCAGGAGGAGTCAATGGGGGCTCTTTTGCTTCATAGCTCTTGTTCAAGACAACATAATCAAAAGGAATTTCTGTTCCGGGATTAGTTCTCTTGACATCTTCTTCATCATTCGTTTCTTTAACACTGATGAAAGACATCAACTTAGTTAGTCCAAGATCCATGTAATTGATGTCATACAGTTGAGCACAGTTCACCTTCTTCAAATTACATGGGATAGTCAGACCGAGTCCTTCTTTAGAATTATATAAACGGGTGTCCTTGGGTTGGTTCAAGAAGATTGTTTGTTCAGTTTGAGCTTTTGTAGTAATTAAGTCTTCTAACTTTTTGATTTTACAATAGAGAGCACTTTTTTGATTATTGAGGAAATCTTTATTTGCTTTCTTAGTGTTTCACTCTGCCTCAGTTTCTTACAATCTAAAAGTCAGATCAGTTACATTGAGCATTATCTCTTCCGTTTCCAAAGTTATTTTCTTGACATCTTCCTTTGAGTTGTCCAATTGTATGCTCAGTGAGGTGGATTTATCCAGCCGCTTCAGTAGAACATTGTGATTATTTGCTAATCTCTCTTCCAATTCCTTGATGATTTTGTCCTTATCTTTTGAGGAATGAGTTTTACAAGTACATGAACAAGGAGATATAGCGTCCATTGCTGTTGATTGTTGAATGTTGACCGTAGACGTAAGTTTGATTGAAGTTTCTACAATTTTCTGGACCTTGAAATGTAGCATGGACCTTGAAAAACTTTGAATTTTCAAAATCTGAAAATAGTTCTGCGAAGATCTGAGTGTCGAAATTCCTCCTGTATCAATTCTAAGCTGTAATTTTTCCTGCAACCTCAACAAACTTGTGTTTCGAGATCTTACTATCGAGATCTTTGAAACTTATACATTACAGAAAAAAAAAGATATGATGTTGAATCGTTAGATGATGGTGATTCCAACAGTATAACTATTACAAATTATCGATCACAAACAAGATTACATGACCTAAATCTTTAAAAACAGTGAAAACCAAAAATAACAGAGCAGTTCTTCATCGATTGGCTCTGAGTTTTGCAAAAATTCTTCAATCGATTTCACGCTATGATCTGATACCAATTGATAGTCCATATTTATGAGATGATAATCTAACAACAACAACAATATAATAGAAGCAGAGAATCACAGAATGATTTAATAATATTTGAACGATGAACTCCTTCTTCCTTATACCGTAAAAGCCTTACACAATGATATGTGCGTTAATATGCGTAGAGGCTTAGGGTTTGCTTAAGTTAGCATCCTTTTATACATAAGATTATAAGAATGTCTAACTTAAGGCTTACAAGTGAGCTAATGGGCTTAAACACATTTGTGGCCCATATTACACATTTAACTAATAACTACACAAATATAAAAATATTTAATTAGATTGGACACCATAAAATATTCCCAACAATATAGTTATACGTATTGCATAATCAAATAGTTTAAAGGCGTTATTGTAAATTGTTAATGTATTACCATGTAATAGTATATATAAATTGGGTAAGAAAATCTGAAGCAAAATGAATAAATCTATATTAAAATAATACATGTATACACAGGCAATCATTAAGATAATATAAATATAGTAAGTCACTTTAAGTTTCCAGATATACACACACACACATATATGAAGACTCCTAATTATTAATCATATATTATTATAAAATTCTATATGCTCCCTTTGTATTTTAAAGATTGCATTTTTTCCAGCGACAGGCCAAAAACTCGAAAGTTTTTAGGGTGAGGGTCAAGAAACACCTCACCAATTTATTAGAAAAAAGAAATTACATAAAGTAGGAGGACCCAATCAAAGCCTAATCGAAAATCAAACTACAGAACATAAAGATCACTACAATAGGTTTTGACACAATATTTAAGGAGAACAATAGTAGGGGGAGTGAATAGAAGAGAAAAGCAAGAGAGATGGTGTAAAAGTATGAACACAGAGATATAAAATAAAAACGTAATAATAATTGTGTATTTTTAAATGAAAAAATTATCAAAAAGTGTATGGAGGGAGTATGAAACGGAACCTATATATGAAACTAAATGTATATGGAGACAATCATTAAGTGAGTTAATGGGGTAACAGATAATAAGACAGTTATTGGGGTAACAGGCTAACAATACACTTCGTAAGTTACTTAACTTTCCTCGACTAATAATTATTATAATAAACTATATATGAATCGAAACCTATATATTAAACAGACTTAGAACCCCTTTGGTAACACTGAAATTGACCGATTATGCTGAAATTTATGAAGTTGTGACTGAAGTGGTTGTATTGGCTAATTCTGATTATTTATGAAAAATATATGTTTAAAATATTTGTTATTAATAAATAAAAGAAATAATTATATGAAAATAGCTCAAATGATCATCTATAGTAACTTCAATCAATTCAGTCAGAAAAGTAACTCAACCTTACTTATCTTATTATTACACAATTCTAGCCTGCACGCGAAATAAAAAGTTATTTGTTTGGTAAAAAAATTGTCTGATAAGCCTGATAAGCCGGAAAAAATGTCACCAAACGGGTTATTAATAATTAAACAAAAATAGTAATAAAGGTAATAAAAGTTATTAGACTTTGAAAATGAGAAAATATTGTGGTGTGACTAATAATAGATAATAGAGTGACATATGACAATAGTAAATAATAGAGTGACACATGACAATGTTTCTCGGCATTTATCCCACTGATTTTCGTGGTTGGTCTATCGGGTAAAAAAATGAACGTTTAGTAGAATAGTAGTAATGAAAAATTAATAGAGTCCTTAATTTTTTTAGTGGTAATTGATCGAATGAATGACACATGTCTCTAAGTTGTTTATAATAGTTAGTGTAACATGTGTATTTCAAGGTGACTCATAATAAGGTGTATATAGTTATATGGAAAATGCTTAGTGTATAAATGAGTTGTATACAAATTGTACGCAAAATCCCCCTAATTATCTGTGTACACAGACAATTCATTTAGAAAAAGACAGAATTTGATATCCAATTATCTTTGTACACAAGTAATGTTTTTGTACCGGTCTTGCGTACACCAAGCATGACCCATAGTTATATAGATCCCACTTTTTTGTTTACTTGGCAGATTATTTTCTCTATCCACACAAAATACAGCCTTTTATCTTCTTTATTATCCTTCTTTCTACCTAGGAGATTGAGTGTGAAATACGAGTATCAGCAAAGAGAAACGCAAAAACCCATCGATGGTTCCCCGCTCACCCACAGATGAGACCTCGCAAGAGAAGCGAAAGTCACAGTCCAACTGTATTATTTCTCTACCCTTCAACGCGCTGCCGTTCTCCAGACAGCACTCTAAACCAAACGTTGTTCAGCTGTTAAAAATGGCGGAGCATTCATCGCGAGCTGCTCGTCGTCTGTTCCACAGCTCCATTGTCTCCGCCGTCCACAACGGTCTCAAATCTCTACATTTCCTATTTTCCCAGAGTTCAGTTTTCAACAATCTGATATCTTTCTCTTATCATCTCCGAGGTTTCCGCCAGGTACGCACGCATGCGAAAATACCTTCTGCACAAGTCTGAGGTTTCTTTATTTCTTTCAATCATTTTCTCATCTATTTATTTCATTATTTATTTTTATTTTGAAGATTGGGGTATTGTATATAATTTGCCCTCTGCTGCAACTTTGCGTAAAGCGTTCTAGCCATCTCGGATGCAAATACTTTTCATCAAGTCCAGTCTTACCTCAAAATCTAGACAATCAGGGGACGAAGCCAACCCTCACATTGTGATTGAATGTGCGTTATTATAGAAAATAGTATCAGAGTGAAAGTTTCTATCTCTGGAATTGGACCTATGTCCAGATCAATTATATACGGAGTAATTCAATGGAGCCAATGTTCATATGCCAACTCTTTCCAATTATATGATCGATTTGGAGCTTAAGTATATTTACATACCAAGTTCTTCTTTAATTGAAAAGGCTCATGTATTTTGTTTATCCAAGATGTCCACTTAGCAATTAGCGTTACAAAATTTAGTGTCACTATGCGCTACTCGAGATTTAACCGAAATACACTAACATGCACTCTATCCACTTAATTGAGAGCTGATTATTATGTAAATAGAATCATTTTCAAATGAGAAAATGATTTTAGGAGAAAAATGAGAATACATATGAATCGTTAGGTTGTATTCTGTGAAATTGAATGTGCATTAAGTGACACTAAAATGTGCATCAAATGAAATCAAAATATGCAGCACAAAATGTACGACACAGTGGCATTATGTGAAGTTGAATTGTGCATTAGGTGAAACTGAATTGTGCACAATAAAAGATACGATGTGGTGACATTTTTGTGCCTTTTATTTTTCACATTTCTATTTCACGTAATGCACATTTGAGATTTACCTTTTATTATGTACATTTCAATTTCACATTTTCACCTAATGCACATTTCAGTTTCACATAATACAATCTAGCGGTCTAGATTCATATTTCTCTCCTGGTAGTACTTTCTCACTGAAATCACTCCCTATGTATATATATGGGGAGGGTTCTAATGAGAACCATTTTAAGAATGAGAACTTCTAATCTCATTCATTCATTTTTAAAATCAATGGCTAATATTGACAAGGCGACATCTTTATAATTATTTAGGGTGATTGCAAAAAGCCCCATTTTCACTTAGAGTGATTATGAATATGACCTCATCTGAATATTAACCAACGATTGCAACAAATGAAATGTTGAGATTAAAAGTTCTCATTTTAAGGAGTTCTCATTTATGAGTCTTTCTTAACATTAGAATCGTGTGAACATCACTCTTAGCTCAATGTTATACACTCCTAGTTTGTACCTTACACTTTTTTCGTGTTGACGAAATATTTACGAAACTACCACCGTATTTATTTGATGTTGTCATGTTTTGAACAAAGTCTTAAAGTGGCCGCATAATGCATCAAATTAGGTTAAAAGTTTTTGTTCTCACGATAAGCATGGTTCTCATTAGGGATGGACATATCAGTTTCGGTTTTTATTGATTTCATTTCGGTTTAGTTTGGAACGGTTTGGCTCGATTTAGTTCGGTTTGATTTGAATTTGTTATTTTTAAATGAGAAAAGAGGCAAATAAGCCCTCGAATTATTTGCGGTTCTACTACCAGACCCTTGATCCGGAAGACTTCCAAATACTTCCCTCAACTCATTGAAAATGAAGCAATCATATCATTTTTTACCTGCTGGTGCAGGTAAGGAGATAACTTTCTCATGAGAAATAACCGGCACTAGCAGGTAAATGAGATCTGATTGTTTAATTTTCAATGAGTTGAGTGAATGTTGAACTCACCAGGAGACCAGATCAGGCTGCCATCAGAGTCCATCTCATACAACTTCATACCTTGACTGTGAGTAGCACACGAACTTCTCCTAATGGGTGAATCCAGACAACTTAGGAGTTAGGAGTCATGTTGTCCTCTCTAGGATATCTTACATGCATGAAGTTTGCCCAGAGAGACACTGACTTTTCATTTCCACCAAAACTTTTGAAAGTAGGCTCTTTGAATATCAGTGACGGTCTGGATACTAAGTCCACCTTCCTTATAGGGATACCAAACTTTCTTCCAGCTAATCCAATGGAAGCTATTTTGGTCTTGAGAGCCACCTCAAAGGAAAGTTGCCATTTTTTTCAAGGATAGTTATAACTCTCTTAGGGTATATTTGGGAGTTTGAGGGAAGGAGAAGTGAAGGGGAAGGATTTGAAGGTTAGCTGTAGGGGGCAAGGGAGGAGGAAGTCACAGAAATCCTTCTTCATGTTTGGGAGTGTGAACAAGTATCGTTGTATTTCATATACTTATGTTAAAATGCTATACAAGAAGCTATATTTATAGCTATATTTAGAGTACTAGGGTTTCCTATACAAGATATTCAAATGGGCTAAGCCCAATATTACTAGGGTTTCCACACTCCCCCTCAAGCTGGAGCATATAAATCATATGTACCAAGCTTGTTACAAATATATTCCACTCTAGGACTTCTAAGAGACTTAGTTAAAATATCTGCAAGTTGTTCAGTTGTGTTGACATATTTTGTGATGATATGTCCACTCGCGATCTTCTCTCGGATAAAATGACAATCAACTTCAATATGTTTTGTCCTCTCATGGTATACCAGATTTGATGCGATGTGCATCGCAGCTTGATTATCACACATGAGTTGAACCGGTTTTGTGTTTCCATATTTTAACTCTTGGAGGAGATGCTTCAACCATAAGATTTCACATGTAGCAAGGGCCATTGCACGATATTCTGCTTCAGCACTAGATCTGGCAACTACATCCTGTTTCTTACTTTTCCATGAAATTAAGTTTCTACCAATCAAGATGCAATATCCCAAAGTGGAACGTCTATCCATCGGACATCCGACCCAGTTTGCATCACAATATCCCACAATATCATGGTGGCCTCGATCTTCAAACAACAATCCTTTCCCTCGGAGTTTTCTTGATGTATCTCAAAACTCGGATAGCTGTATCCCAATGTCCAGTACATGGCTTATCAAGAAACTGACTAAGAACACTTACCGCAAATGAAATATCTGGTCTTGTGATGGTAAGATAATTCAATTTACCGATGAGTCTTCTATATTTTTCCTCGTTGGGCAAAAGATCTCCCTGTTCTGATAAGAGTTTAATGTTCGGATCCATTGATGTATCCACTGGCCTGCAATCTAGCAAATCTGTTTCCTCAAGAATATCCAAGGCATACTTTCTTTGTGAGAGAGTAATTCCATTTTGAGACTGTGCAACCTCAATGCCAAGGAAGTATCTCAACTTTCCCAAGTCTTTTGTTTGAAATTTGCTAAAGAGATGTTGGTTGAGGAGCGCAATTCCTTGATCATCGTTACCTGTAATGACAATGTCATCAACATACACAACAAGATAAATACATTTGTTGCCAGCAGAATGTCGATAGAATATAGAATGATCGGCATCATTGCGAATCATGCCAAAGCTGCAGACAACGGCACTAAACCTCCCAAACCATGCACGTGGAGATTGCTTCAAGCCATATAATGAATGACGTAATCTGCACAGCATACCAGACTCCCCCTTAGCAACAAATTCAGGTGGTTGCTCAATATAAACTTTCTCGTGCAGATCTCCGCGAAGGATGCATTTTTAATATCCAATTGGAACAATGGACAGTGGCTCATTGCTGCCATGGATAAAACCAAATGAACTGATGCAATCTTCGCTATAGGAGAAAAAGCGTCAGTGTAATCCAAACCATATATCTGAGTATACCCTTTCGCCACAAGGCGTGCTTTAAAACGATCAATCTCCCCATCAGGCACACCGACATCTCACCACTGATTTGCCAGTGGGAAGGGGGACTAAGTCCCACGTCTCACTAGAATGAAGAGCCTCCATCTCAGCCAACATGGCTTTACGCCATTCCGAGTGTGCCAGTGCCTCATGTGTGGTTTTAGGAATGCATATATGAGACAGGTGGGAAATAAAAACATAATAAGGGGTAGAGAGGTGGTGATAACTCAAAAAGTTATATATGGGATGTGGATTCGAAGTAGAACGCTTACCTTTTCGGAGAGCAATGGGCAAATCATCCTGAGTAATTTCGGGTACTGGGGTATCTGATGGTGATGGTGCGGGATCTGTCACAGGGGATTCAACTGGCGTGGCCACAATGGGCACAATGGGAGGAGGTCAAGGACATCAATGATATACTTGTAATGGACGGTCTGCCATAAGAGAGCAATTTGGGTGCTCATCAGATGGGGGGTTAATGGGAGTCTCCAGATGGATGGGTCAGAGATAAGAGGTGAAGTCCAAACATGATGTGGTATCAACTGAAGATAATGGATAATAAAAGGATGACTCAATGAAAGTGACATCAGCTGAAATAAAATGTTTCTTAAGTAATGGAGAATGACAACGATATCCCTTTTGGAGTCGCGAATATCTGAGAAAGATACATTTTATTGACCTAGCCGACATTTTAGCTAATCCAGGTGTCGTATCATGGACAAAACACACACACCCAAACACATGAGGTGGTAATGGAAATAAATCATGAGCAGGAAACAAAATAGAATAGAGATTTTCATTGTTAAGAACTGAGGAAGGCATTCTATTGATTAAATGGCACGCATTGAGCACATCATCTGCCCAATACTGAGGTGGTGTATGGGAATATAATAATAGGGTACGAGCAGTATCAACCAAGTGTCAGTTCTTGCGTTCAGCAACCCCATTTTGTTGAGGCGTGTGAACACAAGACGATTGGTGAAGCATACCTCGTGATGCCAGGAATTGATTAAAGGATGCACCAAAAATTTCTTTAGCATTGTCACTGCGTTTGAACTTCAGCACAAAAAGTTTGAAAAATATGAAACAATTCAAAACGCTCTTTCATTAAAAACAACCATGTGTAACGAGAAAAATCATCCACAAAATAACAAAATAACGGAAACCTAAAGTAGAAGTGACTCGATACGGACCCCATACATCTATATGAACTAAATCA